TGACTGATCATCTTTTTTTCTTGCAGGCTTTAACGCCGTCACGTTCTAACACAGATACCGGGGGGGGGGTGTATGTGTTGTGTACAGTATTTAATGCTGTTTACAGGTTTATGTGTATAGAAAGTTGAATCATATCTATTATGTTTAAGGCAGCTGTCAAAAAGTGTCTGGGTTGTCTTTGTGGATAGACAGTCACTTCAAGACTCCTTTAAAATCAGATGTGCTCCTAACTAATATAGGAATATCATGGGAAATGTCATGCCTTCAATATATTTGCCATCATTAACAACAATTGTCATGTTTAGGCTTATCTTTTTTATCCATGGACAATTTTTATTGGTTTACAAGGAAATTAGATTTTTCTTTAGTGAAATTAGTAAAAGATAATATATGTTAGATCTGTATTAAAGTGAAGCTAGACAATTGTGATTTAAAACAGTAAGAGGGCAAGTTAAACAACAAAACTTTAATTTCAATAACAGTGCTCGTGTTTTGGTTAAAAGTCCATGGGCTGCAATTATGCACCTTGCTCTAATGATTGTTTGCTACTTCGTCATGTATCTGCAGACATGAAAAACATTCTTAGAAACCTTCGCTGCTAAGAAACCATTAGCTACATGACTCCATCTGGACACTTCCCAACTAGTTTCTAAACAACATCCATCCAACCAGACGCTCCGGCCAATGACGCTCACATTGCACAGTTGGTTTTCATAGTGAGCGAGGAAGCTGAGCTGTCGTCATTTATAATTCATACATACAAGGAACAATAGATATATTGAGAATGTGTGTTTGGACCCTGTTTTGCTGAGTTCACAAATGCATTTGAATGCAAATCACTGTTTTTTTATATCTTGCATACGATTATTTCTTGACTGTGTGCGAGCCGACAGCATTGTGAACTCATCCAAACTGACTCATTCATTGTGGCTAATTTCTTTGTGTCAGAACTGGATCTTGCTGCCAGTATCTGAACCCCTACAGTGGGCAGATGATTGCCTCGGCCACGACTATTACACTAATCTATCTACTCTGCTCTGCCAAGCCCTCAGCCCAGGGCGCCTGAGTGTGTTAGCGTGTCTGTGGTTCTGGGTTTCATTACGCTTTCATTACAAGAGAGAAAGTCGTCATGGTCCTCTATGAGTATGCATTTGTGTATTTACGTCTATGTACATATATATGTGTGTGTGTGTGTGTGTGTGTGTGTGTGTGTGTGTGTGTGTGTGTGTGTGTGTGTGTGTGTGTGTGTGTGTGTGTGAGTGTGAGAGTTCCATTACAGTAATCTTCTCCTCCCATGACTTCCTCTTCCCAGTGGCTGTCACTGTGTCTGGCTCTCTGCCAGCGCTCACCACAGATACAGCAATGCACGCTGGTAAATCCTACCGTGAATGAGCGTGCACGGATGTGAGCGTGCACGTTAATCAACTCTAGCTTTCCTCACTCCAGCCGGAGACAAAGCCAGGAGGACAATGCGATCTCCATTAGCCGCTCTCATCTTTTTGACTCCAGACAAATGATTGCCGCCGCGCACGGAACAGTGAACTATGATACCAGATTGTTCTATTTTCAGGTCATTTCACTTGATTAAATACTGGACAATGGCTGCAGGCCACAAACACGCATTATTTCAGGAGAAGGAAGGCAGAAAAAAAGGCATCCAAAGCTATGAATCAACACACATGCTTCCAGGTCGGGCTGGAGCCGTGCGATAAGGCAGGGGGGGGGGGAATAACTGGGCTCCCAGAGCCCCGCAGGACGACATGTGACAGCCATGTTTTTCAATGATATTCAGCGACATGAGCTAGCTCATTAGTGGTTTCATGTAGCTGCGGGGGGATATTGTTTTTTGGATTTCATAAGTGGCTTGGAAGCTGTCCAGTTTAGTGTTTTTTTGGAGTTTTCTGACACTGCCTAGTCATTAGCAGCGCTCATCTGTCAGCTATTTTATCTCTTTAGATAAAGAGGCTTATTAGTTCTAGCCACATTTGAGTCATCTTAAGTCTTCAGTTGATTTTTGTGAAGGACAACTTATTTGTGCTTGTAGTCAAAAAGTCAAGTTACTGTGCATGTAATCCTGTGCCAAATTTCAACTTTGAAGTTATCAGATTGTATTGAACATTTCAGTCAATCTCCTTTTACATAAGACTGTTCATTTCAAGAATCTAAGAGCATCCTCCTGACTGTGCTCATTAGTCAGTAGCACCTGCCCGAATCTGTGCCGCACATGAATCAAAGATAACGCTTTCTCAAATCAAATCAAACCCCAACCCACTGAAAACATTTTCTTGGTAAATAGAGAGAGGAGCATTACATTGTGCAAATGTGAGCTCCTGCAGTATACACACTCTTATAAGCAGTTTTTGAACAGAAAACATTGTAAAATGCACAGCCGTGTTCCAGAATGTGGGTCATAAATATCTGAAAGGAGGGTGTCCAATTATTTCAGAAAAGTGCTTCTGGCTAAAGCCTCCCCGTGCTACTGCAGTGCAAACGAGTCCAAATGAAATGCCTGGAACACGGAGACTTTGTCAGATAAGCCAAACAAAACAGCACACAGAAGCAGATGTGTGTTTAAAAGAGCTTTTCTTTACACTGCACTTTTTAAACATGTGTTATCCACACATTCCTATCCCGTTCCATTATATAATGCATAAGATAAGGCTGTGTTGCACCAACAAGGAAGTCTTTTATAAATATGATTTAAACCATGAAATCATGTTGCAATAAACTTTGAAACTAACATAAAAGATTACATTCGAATGTCTCTTCAAACATCAGTTTTGTTTTTAGAAGAAATCTAGATTCAATTAAATCCAGTTGCACTAATTTAAAAATGGTGTCCAGTATTAACGTAACTTCTTAACTTGAGGTGGTTTTACATTTTTTTTAAATAGTTTGAGACAAAATAATCAAGTTCTTAAAGAACAGATACAACCTAACAGTGTTTTATGCTGCTAATCATTTGCTCTAAAGTTACCAGCTAATCACAGAAGCTAGTATCTTGATGTATTTAACCATACAATGTTCAAAACATTTTTCTTTAACCTGTTAAGCCCTGAGCCTGTTTTCTAGGTCTCAGGCTCAAAAATGACATTCCCAGAACAAATGACTAACCCTGGCTTTAGGAATCCAAACTATAACATACAATAAGTACCCTGTATCAAGAATGATGCAAAACAAGTGACATTTGACCTTTTTAGACAGATTTAGAAAAGAAAACCCACTTCTGGGGTCATTTGGGTGCATTTTCCATATCTCTGGCCCCCCTCGGTCGATTGTGATGATTGACATCTCGTTCTAACCGTTAGAGCCAATAGAATCGAGGGGAAGTTCCTCAAATCCATCTAAACATTACCCATTGGTGAATGAGTGATGCGTAGCCAGAATGCCCAAAACCGGAAGCTGGGTTTTAGCTCTAATGGTGCGAATAACAGCTAATATGAAATCTCCGTTTATTGACATAAAAATGGAAGGATGGATTATCAGTAATAATTTCAAAGTGACACAGACACATTGGATTAACCTATGGATTAACCTTCAGCAGCGTTGTTATCGTTGTAATGCCATTAAACACAACTTTTGATCAGAATAACAGCTAAGGTGAGACAATGTCCCGTTTTTGCTCCGTATAGCTACGTTTTGTGATGTCTGGGTTCGCCTCCCCTGCCACCAGTTTTGATCGCACAGTGATGATACTAATACCTCTAGAATCTGTGGACTCTCAGCTTGCTAGCTGATATCTTGTTTGTGCAGATCCGATAAGTAATAAAGTATTTCTACCGTGAGTTCTGTGCTAAGTGCGTTAGAATCTTTTTTCGCTCAGAGCTCATTTAGACGCTCCTTGTGAGACTTGTGTTTTGTTTCGGTAAAAAAGATTCGTATCGACAGTTAGCTGAGTTTCTTCCCGTTAAGTGGGTATGACACATTACTAGGTTATTAAATGTTAAGAAGCCCTGAGACACCGTTTCCTGTTAAGCCTGCAGGGCCTGTGAAAATGATTACGTAAAGCCCTTTGAATTGTCTTTGTGTCTGAAATGCGCTATATAAATTGACCCCTACATGTCGTTCAAAATCCCACTAATAAATAGCATTTGTTTGTATTTGGATTAAATCAGCAACTCTTTATTGATTCAAATCTATTTAATTGTGGTTTACATTAATAAACTTGAATTAACAGAACGTTGTTTACATTTTCTTTCATGCGACAATCTAAAATGCGCTTGATTTCTAACCTGGATTAAGTTTTTGCAAACCTAAAGTTTTACAAAACTCTGATGATTTATGCTGTATTAAATCAATCCATATTGGTACAACCCAACCTAAATGGCAACACGTTACATATCTTTCCAATTCAACATAAATGTTTCCTTGTTGGCTCTCTCAACAATTAAACAAACAACAACCCACCACTAAGGCGCATCAAACCAAGTTAAGCAAAGAGTGGAGGATTAATGGTAGTTCGACTCCTGCCCCATTACTGTTGACCCCCGGGCTAATGTGGCTTACACAGCAGATGGCACCCTGCCATGCTAATAGATCTGAGGCTGAACATTGCAGAAGCTAACTTCTTATCTTCTTTTCACAGCGCGTAATGCCCCTGATGCCTGAGCTAATGCTTAACAAGCACCCACACAGCTTGCAGTCAGAGGTGGAGAGGGATGTGAGCCCAGGCCAGGTGGGCTGTGCTCACACCTCCCCTTCCGTTTGTATTCATTAACCGTGTTCAGAGTCAGAT